GGTTTATTTGATGAAAAACTGAAACTGTAAAGCCCACATATTTAAAATATTACTAAAAAGCACTAATATGGTGCTATAGCTCTGTGTCAAGTGTGTGAAAACCATGAGACATAATTAGAAAAAGACAGTCAACAAAATGATCGGTGGTTCAACCATTAAACATTTGTGTGGGAGGAAATGATAATTTTGTTTATAAAGATCACTTCCTGTGAAATAGTTTCGTTTGCTTGTTTGTGTGTGAGAGGAGTCAAACAGTTCAGTTACTTCCAGCTCAGGTCAGGTCTGTGATGCCCCATGTGAGCTTTGAGTGTGACTTAACACAGAGAAAAATCAGAGCGTGCTGGACACAAGACAAAAAAAGGAGCTCAAGTGTTGATAAGAGGATATTTAAAATGCTCTATATGACCTCTGTGTGTGTGTGTGTGTGTGTGTGTGTGTGTGTGTAAACGCACACTGAGAACATCTGAAAATGTAATCAGGCATTGTCCGGCAGGACGTGAAACTCACCACTTCCTGAACTGTAGCAGAACCTTTGGACCTTAGTCGCAATGTTTCCTTCCCATTCACCATCTTGCCCTCATTAGACTTTGGCGCTCTAGTCCTCATTCCAATCATGTCTAACCACACACGCAGAACAACAATCATTAATCAACGTCAAATGCTTATTTGGTTAGAAGTAGCATGATGTTAATTGTGTAACATTGATTTTTTTTTCTTCTTCTTGCAAACTATGAATATAAACTATGAATATAAACTATGAATAATATTCTTCGATTATTTCCCAAGAGGCTGATGTGTTCCTTCCAACACATCACTGTCAACACAGTTTTTTGGAAAAGAAAGACAACCATAACAATGCTTAAAGATTTCCATTCCTTATTTGGAAGTGGTATCCCATCCAGTGAAAATCTAAAAAACTGAAGCCCATTGTCCTGGAGTCAGTCTTGTTTGTGTGATATCTTTAGCAGGTTCTTGTCTAATGTATTTCCAGTCTCACTGTTGGCTGTTGAGTTGATGAATGTGTTTGTGTTAAAAACGTTCACCCCAAATCATCTGTACACTGTACAGTAATTGAAAAGCAACATTGCCGGCATCTGTGAATTCAAATGGATTTGTATTTTTATTTGTCTCAGCATTGCTGTGCATATCTTTAACCCTCAGTGGGGCAATTTTGAGCTCCATTTTATTTTAAAATGTTCAGATCTGATTAATAAAGATTTTCAATCATTTCATGGAAATATAAATGAAACACTAACACACATACAAAGAAAATTACATTCAAATAACCCTCGTCTGTTGATTTTTACAGAATATTGGTTTTTTGTTTTTAATAGCAAAGTGTTGATGAACTGGGGACTCCATAACTGACAGAAAATTGGAATTAAGTCAGTGTCAGGGTGGTTTTTTTTACTTTTGATAAAAATAAATTAAACATATTTAACATTTACATATTGTTCAGGTCACATTTGACCCATTTTGACATTGGATAGCATTAAAAATGCCGAAAATATTTCTTTCATTTTTTTTAGCCTGAAATTTAATGACTTTTCCTAAAGCAGTGGTTCTTAA